AATTTTTTAGTGTTATGGAAGACGGATGATGAAACCTCTTCCTAGTAAATGTAACAGCTGCTGACTTATTTTCTGAAATGGAAAATCCGTTATTCTTTATCCACTTTTCTAATGAATCTGAAGCTACCTCTAAGTTTTGATGGCATTTTTCTATATTTTGTTCTGCCGTATATATACATATATCATCAGCATATTGTAATGTTTTTATATTCCTATGGAATATAGTGTCCAAGTCGAAAGAGTATATAATGTACAAAATAGGACTTAATATGCTGCCCTGAGGAAGGCCAACTGCGGCTTTTTGAGGACCTATTAACTTGTCTACTGTACGAATATAAATATTTCTCTCGTTATACAATTTATAAATATTAAAAATAAGTAGTTCCGGTAGTTTTAGCTTTTGCATCTTGTCCATTAAAATGTCTAATTGAATGTTATCGTACGCTCCTTTTATATCTATGAATAAACATGTTGTTGAAAACTTGTGTGAGAATCCACTTTGTATGTCAGTAACTAGAGTAGTCACATTATCTAACGTTGAACGATTTTTTCTAAATCCGAATTGGTATTCGGGTAATAATTTATTGAATTCTAAAAAATGTTCTAATCTGTTTTTAATCATTCGTTCAAAAGTTTTTAATAAACAAGATGCCATAGCTATGGGCCGATAAGAATCTGAATTATTAGATTTTTTTCCAGGCTTTAATAAAGGTACTATAATATAATCAAGCCAATCACTGGGAATTGGTATTTTATTAAACCATATATTATTATATATATCCAACAACGCATTTCTACCGGAATAAGATAGATTAAATATCATATTATACTGAATTTGATCCTTTCCAGGGGATGTATTAGAATTTTTTTTCATAGCTCTATTCAATTCATACAGACTGAAAGGCGTTGTTAAATAATTATCTGAATTTCCAGAGGAATCATATAAACAAGGTTGCAGTGGTTTAGAAATGCAAACTTTTGGACATAATTTATTTTGAAAATCCTCTATCCATTCAGCACTTGATTCTATGTAATGTGTATTATTTTGTCTTCTATTTTTATAACTATTTACTTTTTGCCAAACTTGTTTCATAGGTGTGGTTTTATTTAAGGACTGACAATATATTTTCCATGATTCTGATTTAGTTATTTTTATCGTTCTTTTTGCTATTGCATCAGCTCTTTTATAATTTATTAAATTTTGCAGGTTTGGATTATTTTTGTATATTATAAATAAATGTTTTCTGTTATTGACTTTTGCCTGACATTCGTCATTCCACCAGTGTTTATTTTTTTTATTTTGCTTATATTTATATCTCTGTGGTATTGCTTTTACAGCTGCATTATTAATTGTATTAATAAATTGGCTGTAATTAGAATTATTATCATTATTTATAAAATAATTGTCCATTTCGCTTTGAAATTTATTCCAATTGGCTTTTTTTGTTATCCATCTACTATACACCATCATTTCATTACTGCTCATTTCACATTTAAATTTAATTAAAATCGGAATATGGTTAGAACCATGTGGATCGTCCATTATTTGCCACTCAAAAAGATGTGCTATACTTGATGAACAAAGTGTTAAGTCTATCGCTGAGGAGTTACTGTTTAAAGTGGGCACTAATGTATGACTGCCATCGTTTAATAGTACCAAATCCGTATTGTCTATTGCATCTTGTAACCTGTTACCCTGAGAATTGGTTGTTAAACATCCCCAAGCGGTGTGATGAGCATTGAAATCGCCCCCGATTACACATGGCTTCGGGAGAGATTTCAAAAACTCGTCCCACTCATCCGTCCCTATGGAACTTCTTGGAGTAACATAAATGTTTACAAAAAATATACTGATTTTGTTGGTTGATAGTAGTTGGATACAGTTTGCTTGCAGTTTATTGGAGTGTCTTACCATAATCTCATTATATTTTAACTTTAACTTTACCAGGAAAGCCACACCTCCATACCCGTCAGGGCGGTCTTCCCTAATAACGTTATAACCTGCAAAATTTACATATTTTGATGGCTTAAACCACGTCTCTGAAAGCATAGCAATATCTATATCTTCATTTATTAACATATTTTGAAGATTTTCCTTATTAGATATAGCTGATCTACAATTCCACTGGCAAATCTTAAAACAACTGTTCATCAGATATTGCGTTAAATTTATCTTGAATAATACTAAGTAAAGTTGATTCCTGAATTTCAAATTTATTTTGTTGTTTTAAGATTCCTATAATAGATAAAATTAAACCTACTAAAGCATTCTCCGTAACAGTGACACAAGTGTCTTGATGAGGCTGATTCAATGTTAAGTTTGATGTGTAATTTTGTTTTTCGAAAACGGCTGTCGATGAACTCGGTAAATGAATTGGTGATATAATTTTTTTGTGCAAATTCAGTGTATTTTCTTGTTCTTGAGACCTCACCAACCTAGGTCTTTTGTGAGAAACCGCGGGATGCTGGGAGTACACCGAACTCGACTTTTGCCCGTTTGGCTGCGTTTGGGAAGAAGGAAATATATTAGATTGTAACTGAAAAGCATTAGAATTACTGTATAAATTGTGGTTACTTTCGACTATATAATTATTGTTTAAAATTTCGGTCGATCCCGGATATTTATTAACCATTTGTGCATAAGTAAATTTAGGGGTTTTTTTGTTAGCTTCGGCATAAGATAAATTTTGCTCAGTCATTAATTTTTTAATTGTTTTTTGTCTATTAAATTCTGGACACTCTTTTATTTCATTTGTATAATGTTTTCCACTACAATAGAAACATGATTTTTCTACTAAACTTTTTTTACAGTCTTTTGTCTCGTGTCCCTCTTTACACTTTAAACAGCGAACGTTACTTCTACACTGCTTTATTAAATGACCGTATCTATAACATTGAAAGCATAGTAGGACCTTTTGCTCGTAGGGTTCTACCGGAATTCTTACATGATTAATGCATATATATTGTGGTAACCTAGATGCTTTAAAAGTAACAAAAAAAGTTTTTGTAGGCACGTATTCTTTAGTACCGTCCTGTTTAATTACTTTGCGATTCATTCGTTTGACTGCCTCAACACTAAATTTACAATGCATATCAACCGGATTTATTTTCCCTTTAACATACCCTTCATCAAACTCATAATCTATATTTCTTATTATACCAAATTTATGTGTAATAAATTTAGGAATATATGCCAACAAATTATATTTCTTTAAATTAACCGACTTTAATAAATTATTTGCCGATTTATAGTCTTTTAATTTAATTCTTAACCTATTACGCCCTATAGAATCTATGCAATTAATTTTGGAATCCAATTCTGGATGTTCTTTAAACAATATATCTCCTATTCTAATTGCGTTTAATTTACTATCGAAATTATCTAGACTACTTTCAACATAAACGTAAAAAGGAGCGATATCTATACTATTATAAAAACTTGCAATACGTACTGGTTTCTGGTTTTTATCTGTTGTTGAATCCGTATGATTTACGTTAGAATTATTAATTATTGTACTTACATTTGGATTATTGATATTTACTATTGTTGTTTTGTCTAATACATTACGTTGCGATTCTACATCCATATCCCAATTATTTGGGACATCTATGTCACCTTTGAATTCGGGTTGAGTTTCAATTTGGGGGGTTTCACCACCCCCCTGGTTGGCACTCATATTATACACTCACTATAAATTAAGTTTCTTATAAAACCTACTACACTAGAAATTTTTAACAAAATTATTCGAAATTGGACACTGTAGTTAATTACTTCGCACTCGATAAATCGACCGGTCGATTCAATGATCACGAACGAACTCGTGTTGTTGAAAATATGGGAACAGATAATGATAATATAGATAATAAGACAGAATATTTGGATGACTTTAGCGATCTGGAGGATGAAAATTAAATTGATTTTATGTATTGTGTTTTTCATGTTTAGTACTGTATATAACTTCTAATATTATGATAAGATACCTATTTTACAACTTGTATTAATAATTTTTTTTGTAATAAAGGTGCAAGCCACATTTTTTTGAATTTTTATTGTTTTTTTTTTCTACAATACCTACTTTTTTTAAAATTAGCTTAGCGTTTCAAGGATAGTTGATATACAGGTTTCAAATAATACCATTACGAAATTTCTAATCCATATTTGGTATTTCAGGATTTGATTAAAACCTTTATATTTGATTTTCTCAAAAACTTACTTTTGTGGCATGTACCGTTGTTGCTCTAAGGTCTTCAATTGTTAAACATTCTGCAATAAACCTAGCTTAAGACTTTAAAGTCAATTTTGTGATCTTTCTGGAGTTTTTTCTACTTAAGACGGTTGCATATTACTGCATGCATTTATGGACTTTGTAGAGATACAAAAAAATGAAACTAGTGTATTTGATATTACATAAGTAACATATATAATACTATATTGTTTGCAATTACACCATTACTTAATATCTATTATTTATTATATCTTGATAGTAAATAAGCAAGTGTTAACTCACATCAAAATGTTCTTCACATACGTATTTGATACTTTTGGGTCCAATTAAATCTCGCTTCATTAATTTGCACTATTTCTTTCTCTTGTCTGTTTGCAAAGGTACATGGAAAAATATTTTGTTTGCACATAGCCTTATGGTTGGGTTGGGTTACGTAGTAGGCTACGTCGTCTTCCACGGTAAATTCTCGGAGGAAGTTTGCTTCTACTTCGCTCCTGGGTCCTCTGTCCGAGATCCTGTGCCATCTTCTTTTAAATCGTAACATCCCCTGGTAGAATGAGTGACTTCGAGATGTCATCAAGGATGGGGTTGTTTTAGTGTTTGGGATTATTCTTCTACGTCTTCCAGCATACAAAGTAATGGAAATGGCTCATCGCCTGTGTCTTCCATTGTTTCTGTTGACCAGCTTAAGCGTTTCACTTCTTCGTGCAGGTCCTCGTCTTCTTCTTTTCTCTCGGTGGTTGGCTTTCTAGAGAGATGGTCTGGGAGTTCATTTTATTTTCCAGGTATGTGCTTTATGGAGAAATTAAACTCTTGTAGCAATATGGCCCATCTGGATAACTTGGCTTTGTCTTCTTTGAACCGGTTTCGCCATAACAGGGCTTGGCTGTCTGTGTATAGGGTAAAATGCTGGTCATGGAGGAAGTGTTTGTATTTCTTGAGTGCCCATACTAATGCTAGGCACTCCTTCTCATTAATGTGATAACGCTTCTCTGCTGGTTTCAATTTGGTTGAGGAGTAGGCGATTACTTCTTTCTTCTCTTGAGTCCCTGGGAAGAGTACGGCTCCCATACCAATGTCTGAGTCATCTGTCTGAAGGCTGAACGGTCGGGTAGCGTCTGGTCTATGAAGTTGCAGTTTTCTGGACCCCATGAAATAATCCTTATTCCAACCAATGAGCAATTTTTTTCGTGTTTGGAGATGTTTCTCGTACGCTGATTGGTCGGCAATGCGAGCGTACAAGAACAGTAGATGAATTTTCGATTTCGGTCGTTAATAAAATTTTATTAGGGGAATGTGCCCTGTTAATGTTTATAACGTCCATTGAGCGTGTAAACTCTGGAACTTGGTCGATAAAAATTAATTTATTATAGGTACTCATCTTAATCACTTTCCTTTCGTTTTAAATAAATGTACCTATGTATTGATAAACATTTCTTTTTATTCAGTTGTCTGCTTTTTCTGATTATTCTGACTGTTCGGGTTTAAAAATACTTATTTAATAATAATTATGTCGAAAAGAAGCAAATACATGTGTGAGCTAGCAAAACTTATGGAAAACCAAACAAATAGTGTAATTTGATTCAAATATTACCAATGTTGAGGTAAGTCGGAAATTTGTTATTAAAAAATACCTATGATTGAAGAAATAACACAAAACTTTCTTTTTTCTTTACAACGTTTCTATTTATTTGGTTGCTAAATCTTAAAAAAAAACAGAAAAAAAAATACACTTTTGTTTTATTTCTTTAATCTGGCCGAAAATCACGAAAAAAATAAGACACGGCCACTAAAAATTTAATATGTTAACTAAATTTTAAAATAAATGCATTTTATACATCATTAAATAATTTAAATTGTAGAATAAATTTAAATTGTAGAATATGGATGATACAAAGGTGACAGAATTCCACCTTCAGAGCGAACCATCGTCATCCAATAGTCGTATTCGTGAAATGGTTTTAAACGAGAAAACTGGATGTTTTGAATCAGCTTCTACCATAGATTCTATTGATGATTATGATATAAGTATTAAATCTTTGTACCTATACTGTTTAGTAAAATGCTTTATAATGCTATTCTCTATATTTCTGTTTAATGAATATTAAACTTTGATGTACCTATTGTTAAAATCTAAAAGAAAAAATACAACTTCCTTAGGTACACACAATTTTGTAAACACATATGTATTAATCTTATTATAGCAATGTTAAATTGATACCTATTATTATGATCATCAATTATTGATTAAAGCAATTATACAATAATGTAAAGCACATGAAAAATATTTTTTGATAACTACCTATAGTAAACTTTATGCAAAAGATTAATTTGAATGAATTGAATTTGTTTTATTTTTTGGTACCTCGTAGTTCATTAAAAGCCAACTTCTTTAATTAAAATGAACGCTTTCTAGAATTAATTGAAATTTTTATTTAAAATAGTATCCAATAATACCTTTATATCTCTGCAGAGTAGCGGTTCCTCTGATATGAATATACCACCGTCACATGAAGAGAGTTCCGATAACAATGAAAGTTGTGATGATAGTCCATTTTTAGCCAGTACATCAGGTCGTCCAAAGAAGGGTAGAAAAAAGAAATTTGCAATGACGCGAGCAACATCAAAGATTAATAGGAACAAAAATGAATCTTACATTGACTACAAAGGAAAATTAAAAGCTGCTAAAGAATTTCAATATGACTACAATTGTAACTGTCCGATGAAATATTCTAAGTTAATTTCTACAGAGTCACGAAAACAGGAATTTGATAGTTTTTGGAGTCTTGGGTCTTATAATGGCCAAACTATCTTCATTGGCAATAATATCCACGAAATGCCGAAAAAAGGAATATATGGAAGAAACACTGAAAGACGTCTGTATTCCAGACAATATTGCTTACTAAATCAGCGTATTTGTAGGCAAATGTTTGTCAATAGTCTTAGACTAACTCCGTCAAGAGTAACAACAGCTCTGAGAAAGGTAAACAATCGTACTCCAATTCTTGATCAAAGAGGTAGAAAACAAGGTGGTTTAAACAAAGTCCCTGAAAATAAAATTCAGGAAATAATCAACCAGATCAATAAACTGCCAAAGTACATATCATATCGCACTACTGTCGTGAAAACACGTCTGCATTATTTTTACCGGCACATCTCTCAATATTAAAGATGTATGATCTATCCAAAACTGAAGTTCAAAACCCTGAAAAATTTAATTTGAGATTTAATGTTCCCAAGAAGGACACATGCCAGGTATGTGATTCATTTAAAATAAAACTACAAAATGAAACGAATGATCATAAAAAGCAACTTTTACAAATTGAACTCGACACTCATCAGGATTTGTATATCAATGTAATATATTATAAGAGGCAAGTTTCCTTGTATAATCTGGGTGTATTTTCAGGAAAACGTATTAGTTATTCCTATGTATGGCTTCAAGGAACTGCTGGAAGAGGAGCTCAGGAGGTTGGTTCCTGTATTGTAAGATATTTAGAAAACGTAGAAAGTACTGTTGAGCATCTTATATTGTGGTCTGATTCTTGTGGAGATCAGAACCGTAATATTAAAATAACACTCCTCATGGCCAGTCTTTCCTCATAATATAAAAACTATAACATTTAAATTTCTGATTTCCGGCCATAGTTTTCTACCAAATGATAAAGATTTTGGGGATATAGAATGTCAACTCAAACTTCAAGAACGAATATATACACCTTTAGACTATATAAATATAATAAATTCATGTCGTAAAAAGTCTCCAATAATAGCTACACAAATAAAAAAGGAATGGTTTTTGATTACCCAACATCTCGCGAAGGCCAGAATAAACAGAAAAGTTGGCACTAATAAAGAAAAAATAAATTGGTTGGAGACGAAACAAATTATATTAACAAAAGAAAGTCCTTACCACATATTTGCGAAACCTAGTTATTTTGGCGATGAAAGTGTATGTTTGGATATTGAGCGACGAGGACGATTAAATACAGAGAGCTTTTCGGCGCTGCTTATGCAACTCTGGCCCAATGGTAAACCCCTGTTAGAGGATAAAATTAACGATATTAAAAGCTATTTGCATCTAATTCCTTCAGACGCTAAACCATTTTATGAAAATTTTATAGGTGCTAATGTAGTCGAAGACGTTGATGGATTTATTGTTCCAGTTCTAGATTTTGAGGTAGATACCCACAATAATTAAAACTTTTTATAAATTTACAAGCAAATCATTGTAATTTTGTTTCTTTGAATCATTAAAAATTTTTATAAAAATATGACATTATTTATTTATCTGAAAGATTCCAACCCACATAAGTATGTTTTATCGAAAATTTTCGACCTAAAATTTTCAAAATATCTTCATTGAAACTTACATTTAAAAAAATACAAACGAGGGCCTACGAGATAAATATCATTGTCTTAAAAATCATTGCCAGGCGAATTTTAACTGCAAGTCACAATGTATACGTTTGGATACATACTATAACTCTTAATTGGGAAAGTAGAAAATTTTGTGAAACAAAAAGTCGTGAGGGAAAGGGTTAATTATTCTGGATCCAACACTGTTCGTTATTAGACCTCCCCACCCCATCGATTCTGTTTAGAAACAAGGCAACATTCACGCAAGCATGTAAATATGTGCATGTTATAATATCTCTGGTTTCTTTAATATAAGGTCTTTACCAAAGCCATCTAATTAAAAAAAAGAATCAAGTTCTCTAAAAAAAGATGTAACTAGCAATAGAACAGAACAACTTATGCGACAAGTCGCAAAGTTTATTAACGTCAACAGACATATTACAGTCGTAGAAATAGTTTCAATATTAGATGTCAAGCTGCTGGTTTTTGCAAGGAAATAAATATAAAAAAACACGAAAATTTGGTTGAACCAGACGAATGTTACTCCATAATGAGAACACTTAACAAGGTGTTACAGATTAAAGATGACACTGTCAAAAATTCGACCTGTCAGAGAATGAAATGCGCGAATTAATTGAGCAACAAACTTATAAGACGTACCACCAGAGATTGGTAAATATATAGAGCAGTCCACTAGAGGCCAAAGTGATAATAAAAACTGGTTTGAAAAGAAAAACTTGTCTTACAGCTTCTACTTTCAGTGAGATAAGCAAGCGAAAAATTTAACTTTGAAAATCCACTTTAATCTCTTTATAAATCTTTACCGTCCTTAAAACAGTTGGAGTACGAAAAACTTAATCAAAGTATAGCTATTAAAGCATGTTTCCAAAATAAAAAATATAGTAAATCAGTGTGGATTGTTTGTGTGTTTCGAAAAAGGTTATGGATTTTTAGGAGCTTCCCCTGACGGGGGGTTAATAGGTGAGAATAATATTGTGAAAGTTAGGTGTCCGTATTCAGACCAAGAATATACACTAGTTATGGGTAACACCGTAAATTTTTGAGTGTTGACACAATGAGACTGATACGGCTGACTGTGTACATCAGTACAATGTATCAGCACAATAAAGTGTCATGACACGCTGTTTCAGTATTGTTTTGCGCCAGAGCGCCAGCACAGCATAGACACAAATTTTTCCTTATGTTGTGGTGCCGGTGTTACATTGAGCGAGAAACGATACCCTTGATACGAATTCTAAATATAACTTTGCACATAGTAGCCAAATGATTTAATTTCTTTAAAACACACGCTATGAAAATAACAAAGGTGTGTTGAAGTCACTTTTTTATTGTGTGAAGTGATCTCAAAAACAATTAAAAAAATTATGGGTTAAATTAAAAGAAAACATTAATTAGTTGGCTGAAAATACCAAAAATCATTATAATAAAAAGTGTATCATAAAAATAAAGATATGACATAACACAATAGTAAAACACCACACAGTAAGTGGCAGCACAGCACTATTTCCTGTGTAGGTTTTCTTAGAACTATAATTATTGGGAATTAGGAATTAGTCATCTTTATAATAGAAAATTAGACACTACACGGTTTCATAGTGAAAGTTTCTTAAAAGATGTATTGTTAACTTGTTATCAAATATCCACTGGATCGAAGATACAATTGTTTTAAATTACGATAATTTTGAGTATGAATATTTTTAATAAATTAGTATGTAAATCCTAATTAAGTCAGTTTAGATTTCCGGTAAACGTTTTGACCATGGCTCCAAAAA